AATTGTGCTTGTGGTTGCAACTGAAGGGCCTGAACTCCGTGGACTTGTGCTTGTGTTTGTGATTGTTGCTGTATTTGCTCTGTTTGAACTCCATGGACTTGTGCTTGTGCTAGTAGTTGTTGATGTAATTGCACTGATTGAGCATTCTGAAATTGTGCTTGTGGTTGCAATTGCATTGCCTGAGCTCCATGGACTTGTGCTTGTGCTAGTAGTTGTTGATGTAATTGCACTGATTGAGTATTCTGAAATTGTGCTTGTGGTTGCAACTGAAGGGCCTGAACTCCGTGGACTTGTGCTTGTGTTTGTGATTGTTGCTGTATTTGCTCTGTTTGAACTCCATGGACTTGTGCTTGTGCTTGTGGTTGTTGATGTAATTGCACTGATTGAGTATTCGGAAATTGTGCTTGTGCTTGTGCTTGTGGCTGTAATTGCACTGATTGAGTATTCGGAAATTGTGCTTGTTGCTGCAATTGCATTGCCTGAACTCCGTAAACTTGTGCTTGTGGTTGTTGATGTAATTGCACTGATTGAGCATTCTGAAATTGTGCTTGTGGTTGCAATTGCATTGCCTGAACTCCGTGGACTTGTGCTTGTGCTTGTGGTTGTTGATGTAATTGCACTGATTGAGTATTGTGAAATTGTGCTTGTGTTTGTGATTGTTGCTGCAATTGCATTGCCTGAGCTCCATGGACTTGTGCTTGTGGTTGTGGTTGTTGATGTAATTGCACTGTTTGAACTCCGTGGACTTGTGCTTGTGCTTGTGGTTGTTGATGTAATTGCACTGTTTGAACTCCGTGGACTTGTGCTTGTGCTTGTGGTTGTTGATGTAATTGCACTGATTGAGTATTCTGAAATTGTGCTTGTGGTTGCAACTGAAGGGCCTGAACTCTGTGGACTTGTGCTTGTGTTTGTGATTGTTGCTGTATTTGCATTGCCTGAGCTCCATGGACTTGTGCTTGTGCTTGTGGTTGTTGATGTAATTGCACTGATTGAGCATTCTGAAATTGTGATTGTTGCTGTATTTGCATTGCCTGAACTCCGTGGACTTGTGCTTGTGCTTGTGGTTGTTGATGTAATTGCACTGATTGAGTATTCTGAAATTGTGCTTGTGGTTGCAACTGAAGGGCCTGAACTCTGTGGACTTGTGCTTGTGTTTGTGATTGTTGCTGTATTTGCTCTGTTTGAACTCCATGGACTTGTGCTTGTGCTTGTGGTTGTTGATGTAATTGCACTGATTGAGTATTCGGAAATTGTGCTTGTGCTTGTGCTTGTGGCTGTAAAACATTTTGAAATTGTGCTTGATTTCTTCTCATTTCCAATGTTTTTTCTTCTATTCGATCATAATAGCGTTGGATATTCTTAGGAAGCGTATAATACCATTGCCGAGGCAAATAATAATTCATCCATTCAGGGCAACCTGGAAATTTTTCTTCTTCTATGATGGGTTGTGGAGTAGATGCATATAAATAATTTTTAACATATTGTTGCATATTGTTAATGAACCATTTTCTTACAGTTCCAGGATTCCAATGTTGGCTAATAACTGAAAGCTTTGCTACAACTTCGTGTACAATATTTGATCGTTCAATAGTTCTTTGAGGGTAACTAAAATAGTTCTTAAGTGCAGGAACCAATAGTTCAATCTCTTCTTTTGAGACATGGTACTTTGTATTTGAATCTTGCATTTTAAAAATAAAAAATGTTAAACGTCTTTGTAAAAGATATTGCGGTTATGAATGGTCTGTGTTGTTCGCTGTTTCGTTGGTTTTTTCGTGTTCGATGCACTGATTGAGTTTCTTGTAGCTTGCTACTGTGTTTCTTTCTAGTAAAAGTAATTGCGAATTGTGAATGGTCTGTGTTTGTAGCTGTTTCTTTGCTACATGTTTCGTTGTTTTTTTCGTGTTCGATGCACTGATTGTGTTTCTTGTAGCTTGCTACTGTGTTTCTTTCTGTAAAAGTAATTGCGAATTGTGAATGGTCTGCGTTTGTAGCTGCTTCTTTGCTACATGTTTCGTTGTTTTTTTCGTGTTCGATGCACTGATTGTGTTTCTTGTAGCTTGCTACTGTGTTTCTTTCTGTAAAAGTAATTGCGAATTGTGAATGGTCTGTGTTTGTAGCTGCTTCTTTGCTAAATGTTTCGTTGTTTTTTTCGTGTTCGATGCACTGATTGAGTTTCTTGTAGCTTGCTACTGTGTTTCTTTCTAGTAAAAGTAATTGCGAATTGTGAATGGTCTGCGTTGTTCGCTGTTTCTTTGATAAATGTTTCGTTGTTTTTTTCGTGTTCGATGCACTGATTGTGTTTCTTGTAGCTTGCTACTGTGTTTCTTTCTGTAAAAGTAATTGCGAATTGTGAATGGTCTGCGTTGGTCGCTGTTTCGTTGGTTTTTTCGTGTTCGATGCACTGATTGAGTTTCTTGTAGCTTGCTACTGTGTTTCTTTCTGTAAAAGTAATTGCGAATTGTGAATGGTCTGTGTTTGTAGCTGCTTCTTTGCTAAATGTTTCGTTGTTTTTTTCGTGTTCGATGCACTGATTGTGTTTCTTGTAGCTTGCTACTGTGTTTCTTTCTGTAAAAGTAATTGCGAATTGTGAATGGTCTGTGTTTGTAGCTGCTTCTTTGCTAAATGTTTCGTTGTTTTTTTCGTGTTCGATGCACTGATTGTGTTTCTTGTAGCTTGCTACTGTGTTTCTTTCTGTAAAAGTAATTGCGAATTGTGAATGGTCTGCGTTTGCAGCTGCTTCTTTGCTAAATGTTTCGTTGTTTTTTTCGTGTTCGATGCACTGATTGAGTTTCTTGTAGCTTGCCACTGTGTTTCTTTCTGTAAAAGTAATTGCGAATTGTGAATGGTCTGTGCTTGTAGCTGCTTCTTTGCTACATGTTTCGTTGTTTTTTTCGTGTTCGATGCACTGATTGAGTTTCTTGTAGCTTGCTACTGTGTTTCTTTCTGTAAAAGTAATTGCGAATTGTGAATGGTCTGCGTTGGTCGCTGTTTCGTTGGTTTTTTCGTGTTCGATGCACTGATTGTGTTTCTTGTAGCTTGCTACTGTGTTTCTTTCTGTAAAAGTAATTGCGAATTGTGAATGGTCTGTGCTTGTAGCTGCTTCTTTGCTAAATGTTTCGTTGTTTTTTTCGTGTTCGATGCACTGATTGAGTTTCTTGTAGCTTGCCACTGTGTTTCTTTCTGTAAAAGTAATTGCGAATTGTGAATGGTCTGCGTTGGTCGCTGTTTCGTTGTTTTTTTCGTGTTCGATGCACTGATTGTGTTTCTTGTAGCTTGCTACTGTGTTTCTTTCTGTAAAAGTAATTGCGAATTGTGAATGGTCTGTGCTTGTAGCTGCTTCTTTGCTAAATGTTTCGTTGTTTTTTTCGTGTTCGATGCACTGATTGAGTTTCTTGTAGCTTGCCACTGTGTTTCTTTCTAGTAAAAGTAATTGCGAATTGTGAATGGTCTGCGTTGTTCGCTGTTTCTTTGATAAATGTTTCGTTGTTTTTTTCGTGTTCGATGCACTGATTGTGTTTCTTGTAGCTTGCTACTGTGTTTCTTTCTGTAAAAGTAATTGCGAATTGTGAATGGTCTGCGTTGTTCGCTGTTTCTTTGATAAATGTTTCGTTGTTTTTTTCGTGTTCGATGCACTGATTGTGTTTCTTGTAGCTTGCTACTGTGTTTCTTTCTGTAAAAGTAATTGCGAATTGTGAATGGTCTGCGTTGGTCGCTGTTTCGTTGTTTTTTTCGTGTTCGATGCACTGATTGTGTTTCTTGTAGCTTGCTACTGTGTTTCTTTCTGTAAAAGTAATTGCGAATTGTGAATGGTCTGTGCTTGTAGCTGCTTCTTTGCTAAATGTTTCGTTGTTTTTTTCGTGTTCGATGCACTGATTGAGTTTCTTGTAGCTTGCCACTGTGTTTCTTTCTAGTAAAAGTAATTGCGAATTGTGAATGGTCTGCGTTGTTCGCTGTTTCTTTGATAAATGTTTCGTTGTTTTTTTCGTGTTCGATGCACTGATTGTGTTTCTTGTAGCTTGCTACTGTGTTTCTTTCTGTAAAAGTAATTGCGAATTGTGAATGGTCTGCGTTGTTCGCTGTTTCTTTGATAAATGTTTCGTTGTTTTTTTCGTGTTCGATGCACTGATTGTGTTTCTTGTAGCTTGCTACTGTGTTTCTTTCTGTAAAAGTAATTGCGAATTGTGAATGGTCTGCGTTGTTCGCTGTTTCTTTGATAAATGTTTCGTTGTTTTTTTCGTGTTCGATGCACTGATTGTGTTTCTTGTAGCTTGCTACTGTGTTTCTTTCTGTAAAAGTAATTGCGAATTGTGAATGGTCTGCGTTGTTCGCTGTTTCTTTGATAAATGTTTCGTTGTTTTTTTCGTGTTCGATGCACTGATTGTGTTTCTTGTAGCTTGCTACTGTGTTTCTTTCTGTAAAAGTAATTGCGAATTGTGAATGGTCTGCGTTGTTCGCTGTTTCTTTGATAAATGTTTCGTTGTTTTTTTCGTGTTCGATGCACTGATTGAGTTTCTTGTAGCTTGCTACTGTGTTTCTTTCTGTAAAAGTAATTGCGAATTGTGAATTTTAATTTTAAATAAAATAGAGCAAATTTTACGGTTATGGCCTTGCCTATTGTTTTTTTAACCTCACACAAAAAGTTGAAAAATTTATAAATTAATTTTTGGAAAAAAAAGTTTAAAGACCTTTTTACAAAAAGTTTATAGACCTTCTTTCAAATGCTATCAAAAAGTTTAAAGACATTATTTGAAAAAGTTTAAAGACTTTATTTCAATGAATTGTGAGCAATTCAAAAAGTGGTGTATGCTTAAGCGATTGGCCATTAATTTGTTATAATTATAAAAAAATTCATTTAGAAGATATTGCTGAGAAGAATAATTTGAAAAAAAGTGTATTTGCTTTATAAGTTTTTTTATAGTTTATTTAATCAAATGTAATATTGACAAATCCATTTAATAAAAAGGTATAAAGGTCTCTATTCAAAATAAAATGATACAAAATAGTCTTGACGGGTATCGAACTCGCGACGCTGGCCTCATAAGGACCATGCTAAAACCACTGAGATACGAGACTTCTTGATATATTCATTTATATGTAACATTATCTGAAAAAATCATTCTAAAATATAAAAAGAGATTTCTTTATCACATATAGAAGAAACCGAAAGATATGAATAAATGAAGCGATGGTTTTTTATTAACACATAAACTAGAATTTTTATAAATAATTAACCCGATGGTCTTCCTTGTTGAGCATAAACTGATACATTGGTGCCCATTGTATTTGATGGAATATCTTTTAGACTCTGTATCGCTTCAATTTCTCGCATATTTTGAATCAGGAAGCAGCAAGGACATAAAAAGTCAGTCATACAATCACAACAAAAACGTGGCTCCATTCCTCTTGCCTGTCTAATATTTTCTCGTGCCCATAAATTTGAAGGCCAGTGGAAACAATGACAACATGTTAAAGATTCGCCACGAACATCAGCCCATACACGTGCTGATGCGCATGGGTAACAAAATAATGCGCAACAACAGGCCGAACAATCACCACAGCATCCGCATAGAGATGATTCAATTTGTCCTGTTTGTGCAGCACTCGTATAATGAAGCATTCTATAAAAAATGATGTGAAAAAATTCAGTGATACGGAAAAAAAAATTAGTTCAATTTTTTGAATTAAAGGATTCAATCTATTTGAATACTACATTTTATTTTGAATACTTGCTATCATATTTCATTCAATTTTCAAACAATTTTTACCTATTTACATAATCACTTTATTTGATCCTAATAGAATGCATTTTACTTACATATTTCAAAATAGTGATGGTGCCTATAATATTCTTGATATTATTTTTTCAACATTTTTTTAAATTAATATGGCTTTTGTTATCAAGCTTTCAAGGAAAAATAAAAAAGAAAAGCTTATTAGAAATGATAAATCTAGAAATTAGCTTTTGTTATCAAGCTTTCAAACAGTATTATTAAAGGATGAAATAATATATTGAAAAATACTTTAAATTTGATATTAAAAATTTCGGAAGAAGAAAAATATCAATTGTACTAAACAGAATATTTTTTACATTAATAATGCTCCAATTTTGCTTATGATACATACTTTAAAACATTACGATTAAATTTTTTTATTCATGCCATCTTTTTGTTTGGTAATAGAGAAATCAAAAGAAAGGATATCATACAAAGCAAGTAATCATTTAAAATGATTTTTTGCCAATGATTAATTGAAATATAATTAAAAGTATTATTATTAAAATGAAAGAAAAAGTTATATTAACTGATGCTTTAGTTTAATGAAATGATCATAAAGATTTAATGTTTAAGACAGTTTATTAAATATAGTTATTTGGTAATCCTATCAAGAGAGATGTCATTTTCTTTGGCAGATGCAATAGGATCACCGCCTTCCTTATATTCCATGATTTCGTGAAGATCATGAACGAGTTGATGGAATTCTTCATCTGTAACTTTTTCAGTCCAAATTCCAACTTTAATGATTTGGGCTCGAATATTGAACTCTATTCCATTAATTTTGTCAATATTTTTGAAATATTTTTCGTTATTGCAAAAAACTGATGCGCATAAGCGAATCCATTTTTCTTCACAAGCTTTTTGAATTTTATTCAATTCTTGGTTATCAGCACGTCGTTGCTTTTGATCTCCTTGCTTTTGAGGATGCTTAAATTCGATTGAGATTTCTTTTCCACCAAGGTTTGCTTTATCTTCCCATAATGGTTCTATGCCTTTTTTGAATATATAATACCTACAACCTTTCTGAAGTTTCCAAGCAGGTTCAATTGAAGCAATGATAGCCCAGAAGTCTTCAAAAGTATTAAAGTCATGCAAAATGTTTAAATAATTTTTCCAATCAACATTTTTATCCGCGTTATATTTTGCAGGAATCAAATAATAAAATGTCCAAACTTGTTTCATTTCGTTCTTTTTGATAGTCTTCTTGAGAAGGCTGGGTGGTTTGTTATCATTTGAAGTTGACATTTCGAAATTAAAACTTGGCCAAAGGCTCTATAAATTTTTGAAAGAAAATTTTTTCTCTTTCTGTTAAAAATATTTTTCATATGGATTGAATATTATTAATTAGAAATTTTCAAAATATTTGTATTTTGTGCAGAATTCAAGATTTTGAACACAATATATTTGCTATGTATTCTTTTAAAATTTTGTGTGATCTATTCTTTCAATAGAATGAAGTGCCACTGGCCCAATGGATAAGGCGTGTGCCTACGGAGCATGAGATTCTAGGTTCGAGTCCTGGGTGGCACGTTTTTTTGTAAAGAGAAAACTTTAATTTTATTTTTTACCGTTGTTGATTGAATTAGCTCATAGAATTCATAAAGACAATATTTCTAATAAAATGAGTAACAATAATACAACCCAACAAAAGACAATTGATAGTGATGATGAACCATGGACACCAGAAGAAGATTTTCCAGAGGTATTTATTCGTTTAGATGAAAATAACAATTGTATTATTAGTGGTCCACCTGAGAAAGTTAATGAACTTAAAAAGCAAATTGCACAAATTGTGATGGAAGGTTCAAATAACGTAGATGATGAAAAATTGAAATCTATTAAAAGCTTTGAATTTCAAGTTCAATGATAATCATTTCTTTCATTACAATTCCCATGTGAAAATTCATATATTTATATTAATTTGACATTCATCATTTATTTTTGTTTTGTTTTTTTTAATCATCAATTGATAATAAACATCCATATTATCCTATATATTTTTAGATCATGTGATGTTGTATCATAGTCTTGTCTGCTTTGGAGCAAGAACGTTTCATTATTAATCGTAGTTATTTTTCTTTTAAATCAAATAATTCAAAATATTAACAATCAGAGTAAATGTACATATAAAAGATTTTTATGAAAACAAACAAACATTTCAAACAATTTTTTTTCACTCTGCGCCTTTTGTCGTTCTCCATTCTTCATATTTTTTGAGTGAATCTGGATCAACAGAACTTTTCCTAAGAGATACAGCTTTTTGAAAGTCATCATCTGTAATAATAACTTTTGCATCATCAGCATTCATATTTGCCCATTCATCAGGATCGATGGAGTCGAGTTGCCTTTCAAAAACAGCTTGTGCAGCGTCTCTGCATAAATTAGTAATATCAGCACAACTATATCCATCTAAGTTTTGAGCCCATTTGTTCAAATCAAAACTTTTATCATCTATTAAATCAGTTAAATGCATTTTCAATATTGCTAAACGACCTTCAACATCAGGAAGAGGAATATAAATTCTCTTTTGGAACCTTCTAAGTAATGCCTCATCTAAATCCCAAGGGAAATTTGTTGCTGCAAGTACAAAGACGCTTGTTGAAGAACTATCATTACTAATTGCACCATCAATTCCCTCAAGCTTAGTTAGTAGCTGAGCTTTCATACGGCGACTTGCTTCATTTTCATTTCCACTACCACGCTGTGATGCAATAGAATCTATTTCATCAAAGAAGATTGTTGATGGTGACATTTGATCGGCAAGATCAAAGAGATAAGAAACAAGCTTTTCGCTTTCTCCATGAAATCTTGATGTAATCGTTGCGGATGTAATGTTAAAAAAAGTACGATGGCATTCTGTAGCAACAGCTTTTGCTAAAAAAGTTTTACCTGTTCCTGGAGGTCCATAAAAAAGAACAGATTTCCAAGGCGATAAGAGACCTTTGCAAATATCTGGCCGCATTGGCAAAATTACAAGATTCTGTCGAAGCAAACGTTTAACTTGGGCTAATCCAGCAATCTGTTCCCATTGAACATTTGGCTCTTTGACAATAATTCCCATGTCGATAATTTGATTAACAAGCGGATCGTCAAGATTAACTTTGCTATTGCTATTGTCATTATCGTTATCATTATCTTTTTTTGTGGCATCGACTTTTTGTGGTGGAGGAGGTCTTTCACGCCTTGTTTGTAGTACATTTCTTTTGGATTCTTGTAGAATCTGCTGCTGCTTTTCTTGTTTTTCTTGTACAATTTGCTGCTGCTGTTCATGAAGTTGCTGCTTTGTTAATGGCTTAATTGGTGTGATACTAAATCCTGGTGGCTGCGCATTTGATCCTGACTTTTTGTTACCAAAAAGCGTTTTTCCATCAAAATTTGCCCTTCTATCTCTTCCTCTCATTTTTCTTGATGGAGGAAGATCAATTATATCGTCATTATGACTAAATTTTGGAGGAGCAAGTGAATTATCAAAATCTCCAAAAGGCTGTGGTAAATCTGGCGTGTCATCTTTATCAAGTTGATCAAATATATCTTCGAGAGTTGTTTTAATCCTGAAAATAGATGCCTCTTCTGTTGAAACGTCTTTTAATAAAGAATTCCATTTAGGAATTAAAGTAGTATCTTTGCAAGAATCGATTTCATAATTAATGGCTTGTTTAACTATATCATATGTTTTTAAAGCTGTGTCGTAGTTTTCGAGTTTTGCATGTTCACGAGCTAAGTTAACTTGCTCAATTATTGGGTTTTCTTGATTTTTTGATGATCCATACATTCGTGTAGGTAGACGTTTATTAAACTAATTTTGAATGGTTTATTTCTGAAACTTTTTAAGTAAAACATTCGAATCGCCCTGTTTACTTACCAAAAAGCTATAAATAAGTTTTTTCACCAAAAAAAGCATGTCATAGAAAAAATAAGATTTAATAAAAAATAAAGAAAATAAAGAAAATAATTGTGTAAAAGAAATTTTTAGTAAATACGATCCCAAACTGGATCATCTTTGACCTTGTAGATACGAACAATCCAATTTTTAGAAGTAAAGGCTTCTTGGAAGAGAGATAGTTTGAAATTCAAGTTTGGAACTGGTGTAAATCTTGTCATATCCATTCCCTTTTCAACTGATGGATGGAAAGAGAAGCGCTTAAAGTTATAATAGCAGAACTTGAACATCATAGAGTTCGACATGTTTACTGTCATATGAGGACCAACAACGGGTTCATATGGTGAACTTTGATACATATTTCCAGAAATGTTATGGAATGTTTGATTAGCAATTTTCGGCATCCATAAGAATTTGTT